ATGTTAAAGTTATGACATTACAAATCACATCTGGAAATCTCAACATAGAACTGATTTTACACTTCTCAGTACTCCTATTTACTTTCCCAGGAAAAAATAATTGATTCAACCTGTCAATCAACTACTTGTTCCATAGATAGCCATAAAATGCCTTTTCTTCAAAGTACTACGGGACACAAACAATTGGAGAGTACCTATTCATCTTCTCACATTGATCTCTCATTTTCCAGCATTTAAGCCCAATTGTTTTAGGGTATGACAAGACTTCAAATAACATCTAAATTAAGCAAATGTTCCTAGTTTCATGGGATTAATATTATTTACTAGGAATCACCTGGATTCTCAGGTCCCAATTTCACAAATGCCATACCTTCTGCCCATTAGGTTAGGCGTTTGTGGGGATTTATGGAGACTCCAGATATAATAAAATCCATATGACTTAGGCAGCCCAAGAAATAATGACGTATTTATTGTGAAGAAGTAGTTTAGGTACTGGCCAGAATTTGGGTTTACAATGAAATAAAGACCTTTATTACAAGCGCAATATGAGACTCAAGAAACTGTAATAAGTGGAATTTCAAAATCTAAAAGATCAAAGATTTTATATTAATATAAACATAAATTTCATCATTAAATATGTATTAGTTGAGCACCTAATTTGCACCAAACACAATGCTTGACAACTCAGTAATAAATAGAGGAGACAAGGTGAAGATATTTCCCAAATATAATTCCCTATTCAGAAAAGGTTTATGTGATAGATATGTGTCATTAAGCCTCATAGTTAATTATTGAGACAATTTTATGTTTAAATTAAACAATTATAAATCATGTGCCTATTTTTGTCCAACATTATATCCTCTATACTTACATAATATTTGGTGCTTAGATAATAATCAATGTTTGATGAATGAGTGAATGCATTAAATAATAAAGGAATAAAAAGAAAGCCTCTTTCAGATAATGGCACTCACCTATAAACCTTTAGAAACCCTTATATTCTATTGGAGGATTAATGAAAAAGAATGCTGTAATTACTTAAATTCCATCTGATGATGGCCGATATTGCGGTTCTTTGTGTGTATTATGTTAACTCTAACTGATTATCTGTTTCATAATGCCATACCTGGTAATTGCTGAAATGATTTGTGATTTCTGATTAAGCTTATCTGTTTGGAGGGGTTAAAAGAAAAACAGCATGAGACTAGGAAAATAAAATAGAAGAAAGACATAGCTTGTCATTCAGTTTTATGTGAGCTGAAAGGTTTATAGTGAGAAACTGTTGGATGCAATTTCAGTAAGCAAGGATTTTGTGGAGAGATTAGATCAGTTACAAATTGCTAAATCTGATGGCTTAGATAAAAGTTTTACCAGAGGCTTTAAAAGAAGTAGAACATGTTTTGGGGAGAAGCAATTGCCTTCTGGAGAATGCACTTACATTTATCTATCTCTCTATATAGCTATCTCTAAATATAGATGTATATATATAATTTTCATTATACTTTATTTTATTATAATTTTTATTATACTTTAAGTTCTGGGATACAGGTGCAGAATGTGCAGATTTGTTACATAGGTATACTCGGGCCATGGTGGTTTACCGTACTCATCATGCCGTAATCTACATTAGGTATTTCTCCTAATGCTCTCCCTCCCCTAGCCCCTACCCCCTGACAGGCCCAGGTGTGTGACACAGGCCCTCCCTGTGTCCATGTGTTCTCATTGTTCAACTCCCACTTATGAGTAAGAACATGCGGTGTTCAGATTTCTGTTCCTGTGTCAGTTTGCTGAGAATGATGGTTTGCAGCTTCATCCATGTCCCTGCAAAGGACATGAGCTTATTCCTTTTTATGGCTGCATAGTATTCCATGGTGTATATGTGCCACATTTTCTTTACCCAGTCTATCATTGACGGGCATTTCGGTTGCCATAGTATATATCTTAACAGCAAATTAAATGTAGAGAGATTGTGCAACAAGATCCGCAATTAGAATAAAATGATTGCATTTTCAGGTAGGACAGACAAATCATCTTTATATGTATATATCCATAAATGCATAGATAGATATAAGTAAATATCCTGTGTGTTCCTTTTTAAAAGGATCTCCCTGCTATGCTAGATCACTAATATACAAAAGCTCTAGCATATAAAAGACCTAACATTTTTGTTTGATTTTGTTTTTCTTCATCTTTTCTGTTCTTGGCTTGGAAATAATCTTGTGGTGATCTCTCACCTCACCCATTAAACCATGTGGGGATGACAGGAAGGAGTACACGTCTTTAAATCTCTCTGAACACTTCAAGCATTCAACTGCCTTGAGTCCAGTTTGAAAATTTTTCAAAATGTTACATGCAGTCACGTTGGGAAAAGACAACCTCTCATTGACTCCTTATTGATTTGTAGGTGTGTATGTCTGTATATCTGCGTGTATGTGTGTTATCTGATGATTGGAGAAGCAGGAAAAAGATTGCAAGAAAAGGCTCTAAAACCCATTTTTTTTTTCCTGAAGATTGGCCAAATAAAACGTCATTAAAATTGGGCAGTTGATCCTCAACTCCTAGGAACGCCCAAATCTTCCTAAAATTGTGCACAACTTTACATTGCACTCTTGAGCTTCGGTTTTGGCAGTTAAAATGCATTTATTATCATGAAAAACACCATTAATCTTTACTTTTAGAAAGCTTTTTAAAAACTATATTGTTACAAGAAATGCTTTGAGACTTTTAATCTATTGAACTAAAAAGATCAAAGATAACTAATTCAGACTTTCAGAGAATTTCAACTGTGATTAAAATTCAAGAAAATATATTAAATATATAGTATTAAATGTCAAAGAAGACTTGAGATCATTTTCTGGCTGAAGCCCTTGGGCCAATTCCTAAAGCTCTGTTGTGCCATGTTTGATTTTATGATATGTACATAGCGTAGTATGTAGCTTACACACACTCAAAATCAACATCAACCACATCTGTGCATATTGTCAAATTCAAAGTACTACTGGGAAATGTAGACATTCCTAAAGAAAAAGAATGCAAATTTTGTCTTTAGAAAAACACTAAAGGTGTTTCACTGTATCTTCCAAGTCTTCTGAGTCAAGGACAAACAAGGTTAAGTGACATATTCATATCACTGAGTACAGGATTTAATTGCAGTGGTAATACTGATAGTAATGATATTAAAACCAAGTACATTTTTCCCAAGGATTTTTTCTTTTCTTTCTTATTCTTCAGTTTTTAAAGTTATTAAAAGGTAAAACTAAGGCACAGAAAACCAAAACTTTAAGTCCAGATGGTCTGTTTCATTTTGGAATGAGTTCCTTAGGCATAATTTTTCTCAGGTGAAAAATCTCTTCTTAGGCTAAGATATGATGTCACTACCTCAGTTTGAATTTTTCACAGAATTAAATTAGAAATGGAAGGAACTCATTTATTTAAGTCATCAGCTAGTTCTGTAGACCACTGGTATTAGCTATGTCAAAATAGCAAAATATGCTATTTTGATTCACAACATGCCTGTTTTACAGGAGTGGCTGAATATCCCAGAGATGTCCAGTGAGCTCTTTGGTGGAAAGGGATGTGGTAGTCACCCACACAGGAATCAGAGTGGTTTCAATGCTTCAATTTCCACTTTCTTTCAACATATGATGCATTCCCACTCCTGCTGCACTGGGACTATTGGCCACAACAAATAAGCATGAGAAGCCAGAGCTCAGATTGCCAAGGAAAAGTTGAGACAAATAAAGTTCATTGAGATAGAGTGTGTCTATAGTTACAGCAACAAGGCCTGGACTTGGGAGGGAGTCAGGGAACCCAGGTAAATACAAGCAAACCAGAATCAAACCAGGCCATTCAGTTACATCATACCAATGAGCTGCCAGAGCATATAAGACAATTTCTGGCTTAGCCATGAAGCTTCTTATATGCTTCCTGCTGAGACCAGAACCAATTGCAAGAATTGTTCTGCAATTGAGAGCAGGCAATCCTCATTGCAGAGGTGTTAAGAGGATCAATCTAGTTTGAGTAAATGATGTGGGTTTATATCCAGGTGAGAGAATGACAATGTGTCACTCCTCTTGTGGGTTTTACAAAGGATGATCAGAAACAAGCTGGTCTCACAAGTTAAGTCTGCGGGGCTAAAGGACTGTCTTAGAAAGTACTTTGCAGCATGGCTATTTCTCCCGTTACATTCAAAGGGTGTTCCAGGACAGCTCCACACTGGTCTGTACCTATACTCTATGTATCTTCTCAAAAGAGAAATCAGCGAAGAGAATCCCCACTTGCAGATGACGTTTCTGCTTCCTGTGTTGGTGGTGAGTCTGCCTTAGAACCGGGAGGCTGAGCTGAGTTATTCCCAGTGGGGAGTCACTTTGCCAGTTACACTGTCTCAGTCTCTCACCATTTCCAATCTAGGTAGTTGCAAATAGAAAAAGTTGAACTTTTGCAAAATCAGCAGGAGAGAGTCCCACCTAAGGGTGAGGCAAATTGAAATTAAGATTGTGAAATAGATGCCTTGGGCATCCATCAGAAATGTTTTTAAAGAGAAAGTGTGAATAAGGAAGACTTGAGGCTAGAGGACGCTTCATTTGTGTCAGACTCCTTTGGCAAGAGCTGTTACATGTTCCAAAAATCAGGTCATGGGAGTTGGCAGTGTTTTCTCATATAGAATAAAGTTTGGGAGACATAGTGCCCTCAGAAACAGGAAGAATGTTTGTAGACATAATAAGAACTAATAATTTGATCTGGGCTTGATAAATTACCTTTCATCAGAGACTTCAAATATCCATCACAATAATGATTATTTTTTTACTCATTCTTGGGAAGTAAAGGCAGACCCAATATTATTATACATAATAATGACATTATTGTTATACAGCAATATTATATATTAATAATATATAAGATTATAATACCTTTATTATATAATATTATATATTGTTAATAATAATAATGTTTCTAAGGAGAAATAAATCAAGTTCAATGTGATTTAGTGATTTACTCACACTTACACAATGAATCAAGGGCTAACCAGTCTCAATCATAGTTTTGTGCTGTGGCTAAAGAGAAAGAATCTCAATGCTGGAAAGAAAAAGTCCCCCAGAGTTAAAAAGATGTTCATTTTTCTAATCTCTGTAGTTCTAATCTATGCATCCACTTATCTTTAATATGGCTTTTTAAAATTTTCATTATACATAGTTGAAACTATCTTGAAAATATCTCTTTAAAACTCTGCTTATAATCAATCATCTGGGAAACAGTGATAGAGTTAGAAAATCATCAATGAATATACTAAAACCAGTAGTTTGAAGTTTAGTGAAGAAGAGGATATTTGCATAGTCTCAGAGCATCTCCTCACAGTCTCTGCTCATAGTCTCTGAGTATCCCCTCACAAACACATACAAAGAGGAAACTGGAGACTCTTTAGTTGAGAAACGGAGTGGACAGCACATTTATCAAACAACTACAACTAAAGTCATCAGCAATAGCAAACCAAATTCAAGTGCCTCCTGAAATAACATACCGAGAAGGACACCACATTGCATTTGTGGTATGCCTGTCCTCTTCCCAGAAACTGCATCATTTGAATCATATCATGAAGAAACATGAGACAAACTCAAATCAAAGTGCCTTGTGCAAAAATAATTGACCAACCTCCAAAAATGCCAAGGCCCAGAAAGACAAAGACTGAGAAACCGCTCAAGACTACGTGAGTCTAAGGTCTCATGGAACTAAATGCAATGTGTGACTCTGGACTGGATCTTATTAAAACTATTTTTGGCCAGGCGTGGTGGGCCGTGCCTGTAATCTTAGCACTTTGGGAGGCCAAGATGGGCTAAATGCTTGAGCCCAGGAGTTCTAGACCATCCTGGGAACATGGTGAAACCTCACGTCTCCAAAAACTGCAAAAATCAGCCAGGTGTGCTGGCATGTGCCTGTAGTTCCAGCTACTTGGAAGACTGAGGCGGGAGGATGGCTTGAGCCCAGGAGTTTGAGGCTGCAATGAGCCTCAGCGTGCCATGGCTGACTGGATGTCACTCCATCCTGGGTGACAGAATGAGACTCTATCTCAAAAAAAAAAAAAAAAAGAAAAAAGAAAGAAAAGAATATTATTAAGACAATTACAGAATTTGAATATTGACTGTGGATTAGGCAATGTGTTGTATTTACCATTAGTAACGTTAAATTTTCTACTTTCTGTAATGGTTATATTGGAGAGTGCTCTTATTTTTAATAATACACACTGAAATATTTAGGGATAGAAAGTCATCAACACACTTTCATCTAAACTCTTTGAAGGATTCTGAGAAATAAAAAGATCAGAGAGAGAGGATTCTACGACAATGAAGCAAACTATAAATAATTGGTCAATCAATTTATTTATTTGTTGAATATCTAAAGTCTAGGATATCTTCATAAGAAAGACTTGAGACATTCAGCAAATTATTACCAATTCCATAATTAGGTGTCAAAAACTGCACTAGAACAGAGGACATACTGGTGAGAAAAACACATAGAGTTACTCTTAGGGGCTTAACCATATTTACCTGTTTTCCAAAGCATTTCCTTAATATGAACTTCTCCATTTAAACTAAAATATAAAGTGGGATGGAGATCAGAGCCCTTTTTCCTGAGGTTGATAGCCTTATTTCTCAAATTCTAAAAGTAACTGAATCAATGGAACAAGTCTTTACGGCCTGTTCACCTCCTAGCCCAGGCTCTCTCTGTCAAGCAGCAGTTCATGTTTTATATTTTCTCCCCTTGCTAAGAGGGATTAGTCTGATTGTTAAAGTTTGTAAGTGTTATTTGGCCATGGTTCCTATCACATCCTCGATCTTGAAGCTATGTTGCACTCAAGTGGAGGAAAGGATCCCATCAATTTATGTGCCTCTTCCTCCACTAGCTCAACTCTCTACATAATCAGAAGTAATTTAGAGCAGTGGGGATTCAAGGATAAAAAAAAATTAAATCATTTCTTACCACAAATAAAAGATAACACATAAGCATTATTCTGTGTAAAATTCACACTCTGGACTCGTCATAAATGGTCTTTATTCAAAGCCCCAATTTTGAAACTGTTTCCTAGGATCAATGATCATTTGTTATAAGATGACAAGATAGAAAATTTTAATTAATTGGTCACAGGTAAGTAAACACGTGAACCTGATATTATTATTTTAAAATTATCTATTCATTGTTGGGTAAACTTTTACACTAATTTATGGACATGTACAGGTGTAAATATGTAGGTGCCATGGTTTACCAAATGTCAGTAAAATAAAAAATGAATTTAGTGTAATGAGAGGTCATGACTTTTTAACTTTCTCATACAACACACTCAAAAAACAAGGCTTGTAAATGTAGACAATTTAGGTAGAGTATCATTCTGGCCACACTTGTAACGTTTATGCATGCCTCTGTCAGAAGAGTTACAATAATTAGAGCCCAAAATAAGATGCATAATAATTACTATTATTATTCAACAAGTATTTATTGTCTTGAAAGTGCCGTGAACTTTTTTAAATTCAGGAGATATAGCAAAATATATGTGGTGAGTCACTCTCGTGGAACTTAGAATTCAGTGAAATAATAGCTAACTGCTTTATTTTGTTATTTAATAACAAATTTAAAGTGATTCATAACAGCAAAGTAATAATCTAAATATTGATCACGTTTAAAATTATAATATTCATAAAAATTCTAGGAGGTACGAGATATAGCTATTTTATTTTACAGTTGTGTAAATTGAGTACAAAGATGTTAAGTAACTTATGCAAGGTCGTATAACAAGAAAGTAGCAGAATCAGGCCGGGCACAGTGGCTCACACCTGTAATCCCAGCACTTTGGGAGGCCAAGGCAGGTGGATCACAAGGTCAGGAGTTCGAGACCAGCCTGGCCAACATAGTGAAATCCTGTCTCTACTAAAAATACAAAAGTTAGCCGGGCTTGCTGGCATGAGCCTGTAGTCCCAGCTACTCCGGAGGCTGAGGCAGGAGAATCGCTTGAACCTGGGAGGCAGTTTCAGTGAGCCAAGACCATGCCATTGTACTCCAGCCTGTGTGACAGTGCGAGACTCTATCTCAAAAAAAAAAAAAAAAAAAAAGGTAGCAGAATCAGAATGTGCAACAAGCCAGTCAGGTCCAAATTTCATTATTTAATCACTGCACAATGTTACCTCTTATAATCATCATCTTTTTCATTATCATCATAATCACTGTCATTTATTAAAAGCTAGATTCCAGACACTATGCTCACCACTTCACATACCTTATATCTTTAGTTCTTACAAGAAATTTATGATGCAAATTTACAAAAGCTGAAACTGCATTACAGAAACCTTAATAATGGGTCCAGGAACACACAGCTTGTTAATGGTGGTACCGGGATTGAAATCTTGGTCTGTTTTTTACATGATCTTAAACAAAACACCATACTTCATGTCTAAAACACCAAAAGCAATGGCAACAAAAGCCAAAATTGACAAATGGGATCTAATTAAACTAAAGAGCTTCTGCATAGCAAAAGAAACTACCATCAGAGTAAACAGGCAACCTACAGAATGGGAGAAAATTTTTGCAATCTACTCATCTGACAAAGGGCTAATGTCCAGAATCTACAAAGAACTCAAACAAATTTACAAGAAAAAATAAACAACCTCATCAAAATGTGGGTGAAGGATATGAACAGACATTTCTCAAAAGAAGACATTTACGCAGCCAACAGACACATGAAAAAATGCTCATCATCACTGGCCACTAGAGAAATACAAATCAAAACCACAAGGAGCTACCATCTCACACCAGTTAGAATGGCAATCATTAAAAAGTCAGGAAACAACAGGTGCTGGAGAGGATGTGGAGAAATAGGAACACTTTTACACTGTTGGTGGGACTGTAAACTAGTTCAACCATTGTGGAAGACAGTGTGGTGATTCCTCAAGGATCTAGAACTAGAGATACCATTTGACCCAACCATCCCATTACTGGATATATGCCCAAAGGATTATAAATCATGCTGCTATAAAGACACATGCAAACGTATGTTTATTGTGGCATTATTCACAATAGCAAAGACTTGGAACCAACTCAAATGTCCATCAATGATAGACTGGATTAAGAAAATGTGGCACATATACACCATGGAATACTATGCAGTCATAAAAAAGGATGAGTTCATGTCCTTTGTAGGGACATGGATGAAACTGGAAACCATTATTCTCAGCAAACTATCGCAAGAACAAAAAACCAAACACTGCATGTTCTCACTCATAGGTGGGAATTGAACAATGAGAACACTTGGACACAGGAAGGGGAACATCACACACCAGGGACTGTTGTGGGGTGGGGGGCAGGGAGAGGGATAGCATTAGGAGATATACCTAATGTAAATGATGAGAGTTAATGGGTGCAGCACACCAACATGGCACATGTGTACATATGTAACAAACCTGCACTTTGTGCACATGTACCCTAGAACTTAGAGTATAATTAAAAAACACCACAAACAATGGTAAAAGAGAACACCCGTAGTATGAATAAAGCGTGTGACACCGTGCCTTGCATATACTAGGTACTCAATAAACAGTTGTTTCATGAATGGATGAAAACAATGTTTTGGAATTCCAGTGCCTACTCTTTGATGATTCTAACTCATGCACTAGCCTTCCTCTTCTTTTGTTGACTTTTGAAGACATTCACTATATATGCCATATAATATAGCACTCCTTCCTGTAATTTCTCATTCTTTAATTGTTTAATGGTAATGTTACCGAACTAGTATGATTTCAGGTTACTTAAGAGTCGTGGTTGTCTTATATCGATTTTTATTTCATGAATGTATATTATGGCATTACAATTCATGCAGTTTATTCTGAATTAGACAAATGCTTGTGGCCTGATGGAACTGTAGATGCTGGATCATGATAGATTCTTAATTTTTTGAATTCTTGAATCCCTCCTAAAAGGTGAAAGCAGAGACATTGTCTTGCTAATGTAGAATCGTCAACTGGCCTCTAGGAAGAACCACTGAGCTACCAACAGCATTTTATTCATCTTGACTCACCACTGAGTCAAATAATCAATCTTACTTGATACCTGTTTCAGATTCTCATCACAGATAGCTTCTCTCTCTCTCTCTCCTCTCTCATTCTCTCTTTCTCCTTACCTCCCTTCTTCATACTTCTAAGTTTTGCTTTTTGTTCTTTCTATTTTTTAATGGACTGGAAAAAACCTCCAGTTGTGATAATCACAGACAGGTTGTATAAAGGCAAATGCCTTTAATCCTAATTTCAGAAAGAACTTGGTCCAGATATGGATTCCAAAGAAGGAATGTAATATTCCAGGGGACAAATCAGAGAAAGTGGAGTAAAACTAAGAGACAAATATAACAGTTTTGCAACAACTTAAAGTTATATTCACTATTAGTCAGAAAAAGAGGTGGAGGAGAAAAATATTCTAAGAAGTCACCATATTTATCAAGCTGGAGAAAGAATACGTCCCTTTCTTGTCTAATCCTCATCTCTCAGTCTCTCACCTAATCCAGGAGATCCATCATTTGGCTTTCTATTTCCAAAACATTACACAGACATCAAAACATTTCCTAATGCTAAGCAGTACATGAGTGGCTCTAGGGAGTTAAACAAAAGATGAGGAACAACATTTCTAACAATTGGGCTGTCGAGTTCTCTAATTCCACAGGTAAGAGAGGTTAGAAGTAGAAAGAGCTGAATTTTTCCTTCGTAGAAATGTTATTTAGAAAAAAAACCCAGGAAAATATAGCCACTTAACTGGCATTGGACATAACATGTGTATTAGCGTTAAGAAATCAAATTGTTTGACTCTGCAGTACTGTTGGTATTTTGGACTAGATTGCAATACTATAAATGCTTAATGTAATCATTGTAATAGCTAAACAGTATTTTAAAGTTATGTCTAATCTTTACAATACAATATGAGGTAGGTACAGTATCAGTCGTACTTTACAGATAAGAAATCTTAGGCACAGGGAGGTGAAGTGATTTTCCCAAAGTTCCAACTAGCAAGTGGGAGAATTGAAACCGGAATCCTTCAAGCTTAATGCATAAGCCTCCCAAAACACATACAGGCCAACTGCATGAATAATCATCATCCATCATATGCCGTAATTATTGCTGCTAGGAGGGCTCAGGGGCTTTTGTCATTAATTCTTATCAGTTTATGGCAGTTTTAGTCTAACTTAGATTGTAACCAGTTTAATTTCATCTACTTTAATAAAAAAGAGAAGATATTAGAGTTTCACTTAAGTTAAGCCTTCCCTCTTTGCCTCCAGCTGCCTTGTAATTCAGCATGCAAGAATCACTGAGAAATTCTAGACTACCATCCTACCTTCGAGGGTAGCACAGAGCTGGCAATTCAGTGAATGATGAAAGCAACTAGGGAAATTTTCCAGAGAGATCAGGGCCTTCGGCAGGTTTTCTTTTAGGAGTGAAATAACAAAGATGCATATAAGAAAGTTGAATAATATCCAGATGCCAAAACCTCACTGGGTTCTTGAAGAATAAATATCTATTAAGCATATTGCCAGACATTAATATAACTATATTACTTTCTAGAAATAAGAACTCAGTAGATCACACATATTTATTCATCTGTACAATAAACACTTCACCTACTTTTTGGGAGAGGCTAAAGCTACAATTATACACAGGTCTAAGGTCCTCCCAAGAGAGGTCCATGGTCTTGTTGAGGATGGAGGGGAGGAGTTACTTTGTGGGGAGGAAGACACGGGAAAATAAACAGTAACGATACAATTAAATTAAGGCTGTAAGAGATAAATTCTAGGATATTATGGGATTAGAAGAGGAAGCTCTTAATTACACCAAGGGCCAGGAATGGCAGAGCAACATTGGAAGAAACTGCATACAGGTATACGTCCTGTGTAAACACGTAAAAGACGCGTAGGAGGAATTCACCAGATGAATAAAAGTAAGAAGCTGGGAGGTGGCTTTTAGTTGCTCAACAAATGAATTGAAAATTCAATTCACATTGTATTGTATGTGTTAAGTTAATATCTACAGAATGCTTGCTTTTGATAGTATTTGTTGAACACTACTGATAATGTTAGTTGGATAAATATTTATTGACAGTTTATTGTTTCTGCCTGGAATGTGCCACTTTTCATCATGTCAGCTTTTGCAATTGGCCTTCTCAAAGTAAACAAGACTAACTGCCTTCAGAAAAAAAGAATGATGTAAGTACTTGCTTATAATTGGAATCTATATGCATTGAAATTCCCATCATGATAAACGTAGGTTATATGATTCATACATTACTGGTTAATGGTTGTGTAATAAATCTTATCTATAATACACAACATTATAAAGGGCTTATAAGATTTAACTTATAATGTCTAATCTGTACAGTCTGTCTCATTGTCTGTATCTCACCACATGTGTGAGACATAGACCAAGGAGATCAACTGCAACTGGACAACACAAAATTTTAACTCTCAGAAGATACCCAGTCTAAATAAGGATAGGAAGGATAGAAAAATAAAGTATGGTCACAAATTGACTTAATTTGCAAATAATAATCATCATTTTTTTCAACCCCTGCCCTCTTGAACCTTCTACTCTAATGAGAGGCATGAGAAGAAAGACAGTCAGGTGATGAAATAAACAATAGTATTATTTAGTATGTAAGAAAACAGTAAGTTTCATAGAAGAAAATATAGATAGAAGAGTAATAGCGAGTAGGAGTAGCAGAATAGGAAGAGAGGATACAGCTCTTAAATATAATGGGGCCAGGATAAGTCTCATGGAGACTTGAGGTGCAGAGGGTTTATCTCTGGGGACAGACATCTGGAGCAAGAGTGGTCTCAGCAGTGGCAGGAATTAGTATCGTAGTCTATCTAATTGAGTGAACTGAGGCAGCACACATTCATTTCAGCAATTACAATCATATTGACTCTGACAATACGTAGCAGTACTATGTATTACGGTTACATAATCATGACAGTGTTCCCAATGATCAGATGATCAAATTAGCAATTAAATCATGCAACCAGTTATGCTTATCCTTTCTAGTTTTTTGTTTTTTTTTTTTTTTTTTTTTTTTTTTTTTTTTTTTTTTTTTTTTTAAATCGAAGTCTCCCTTTTGTCCCCCAGGCTGGAGTGCAATGGTGCGATCTCAGCTCACTGCAGCCTCTGCCTCCGGGTTCAAGTGAGTCTCCTGCCTCAGCTCCCCAAGTAGCTGGGATTACAGGTGCCTGTCACCATGCACAGCTAATTTTTGCTTTTTTTTTTTTTGGTTTTTGGTTTTTGGTTTTTGGCTTTTGCGTTTTTTTAGTAGAGACAGGGTTTTGCCATGTTGGGCCAGCCTGGTCTAGAACTCCTGACCTCAGGTGATCCACCTGCCTCAGCCTCCCAGTGTGCTGGGATTACAAGCATGAGCCACCACACCCGGCCTCTAGTTAGCTGCCTTGATGTTAATTTGCTTTTTTAAATTTTTTTGTACTTTGATGTGTCCTAAAAGCACCCTCAGTGTTATCAGTTAGGCTTTACGGAGTATGACTCAGAGGTATTATCTATGCAAGGAACAGGGAAATGACAGATTGAGACTATTATCTGATTCAAAGAATCCAATACCGTAAGTGACATAGCGTAAATGAACTGGATGGTACCTGTAAATTGGCTTGAAAGATAATGTTCTCTGTACTCTACATTGTTTTGTACTCTACATTGTACTCTACATTCTTTATAGGTTATTCCAGTTTTTTGCTTTTTTTTCTTCTCCTTCCCAAGTTTATGTTTCTCTTCTGCAGGGCACTGATTCTTCTATTTAAGAGTAGATACAGTAAAACAATTAAAATGGGTCAGCATTGAAATGTCTAAATAAATCTGGGGAAGGGAGTTGTAGAAGAGTTTCTTATGTGAACTTGATGCACATTGTCCAGCACAAGGCGGGTATCCAAGGAAGGTGAGTTTGCTGAAGTTAGCGACGTGTTAGAGTAGAAACCATGATGCAGATGATGGTAACATTAGCCATGTCTGGAATAACTTTCTACATAGATGGGATTGGAGAAGTCCCACAGAGTTCCAGAGACTAGGAAAACCCCTCCGATAAATGGCCCATCTGCTTATTGATGTCTGAAATTATATAGGAAAAGTTTCATTTCTTAGCCCAAAGCATTTGATTCCTGTTAAAATGCAACTCTCTTGGTTATGGCAATACTTTAAGTTGTTGCTCTACCCACGGGGGTGGGGGGTAGGGGCGGTGGGGAAGATTATCAGAGGCTTTCTTTAAATCAGATTTTGACAAGGAGAGGGATGTAGCCACTGGCCCCTGGTGGAAAGCAGTGGAACAGTATAACCTTAATTGATAGAGGCCTAGGAGGGGTGGGAAAGGAAATAGAATGGATAAGAAGAACGCAAAATACAACGGAAAGCATGTGAAAAGGTCTTACTTTCTCCTCTGGTTCTGAGAATAGATATTGCGGGCTGAGACTGTCCTTTCCTTAGCAATTTGTATCCTTTGTTTAAGGTGTAGCAGAATTCGGTGCATGTATATCTCTGCCAATGTGTAACTTGGGTGGAAATAGACAGTCTTCTAACGTCATAAGATGATTAACTGTGACATACCTTTGCCAGTTTGGGGTGTGGTGTATGGAAATTACCATAACCCACACCACCTTTTTTGCTGACTTACAGTATTTCTCTTTTTAAACCTAGCCGTGCAAATCAGGTAATTTACTCGGAAAATATAAGCATAAATTTTTCAGTCGAGCACATTATATGCAGAACGTATTATATTCACCAGTTCCTTTTTTTTTTTTTTTTTTACCATTTTCTGGAATAGAACCACTAATTTACTCAAAATGAAGCAGATCATTAACATGATACTCACTTAACTATTGAAGATTGTTCTTACTTAACCTATACAGATTGTTAATGCAAAAGACGTCAGAGACACTTCCCAAAAGAAGACATACAAGCGGCCAACGAACATTAAAAAAAAAGAAGCTCAACATCACTGATCATCAGAGAAATGCAAATCAACACCACAATGAGACATCATGTCACATTAGTCAGAATGGCTATTGCTAAAAAGTAAAAAAATAACAGATACTGGCAAGGCTGTGGAGAAAAGGGGACACTTACACACTCTTATACACTGTTAGTAGAAATGTAAATTAGCTCAGCCCACTGTGAAAAGCAGTTTGGAGATTTCTCAAAGAGCTAAAATTCGAACCACCATTTGACCTAGCCGTCTCATTCCTGGGTGTATACCCAAAGACATATAAATCATTCTACCAGAAAGATACCTTCATGCATATGTTCATTGCCACACTAGTCACAATAGCAAAGTCATGGAATCAACCTAGGTGACTCTCAGTGCTGACTGAATAAAGAAAATGTGGTGTGGTATATAGACACCATGGAATATGACACAACCCTACAAAAGAGTGAAATCATGTTTTACAGTAACATGGATGCAGTCAGAGGCCATTGTCCTAAGCAAATTAATGCAGGAACAGAAAACCAAATACAACATATTCTCACTTTTAAGTGGGAGCTAAACATTGGGTACACACGGATGTAGAGATGGGAACAATGGCCACTGAGGACTAATAGCCGGGGAGGGAGGGAAAAGGAAAGGGCTATAAAACTACTTGTTGGATACTATGGTCTACCTTGATGATAGGATCAATCATACTCCAAACGTCGGCATCACACAATATACCCAGGTAAAAAACCTGTGCATGTTCCACCTAAATCTAAAACACAAATAGAACTTTTTTTTTTTAAGTCATGAACAAATTCTCTGGTGACCTTTGAGTTTGTGGAAAAATGCTTAATTTTGAAAGAGAATTAATTTGTTTAGATTAAAATCAATGAAAAAAATATCTACAGGACACCGGATGGGCCTCAGCCTGATTTGTAGACAATTATAGTCATGTTTCAGTTGTAGTTTTACATTTTGCTACTTCCCAAAACTCTCTGACAAAATAAGAAAACGCTTGTGTAACAACTGACTCCAAGAAAATGCTCTTTTATGTGAGAAAATTTTTTCCATAATTATGTTTGTTCACTTTGAATGTTCATAGTTAAAGTTATTTGAATATACTAATATCTGTATGCTTTTGTTATCTATCTAGATATAATTCAGGAAAATCATGAGAATTAATTGAGAAAACAGCAAAAATATTTACATTTCATTCCACATTCCTGCTAAATTCTCAACTAATTGTCTCAGATTTTTAAAAAGTGACTTTGTTTCTACTTTTTTTTTTGTATTTTTTTTTATTATTATACTTTAAGTTCTAGGGTACATGTGCATAACGTGCAGGTTTGTTACATATATATACTTGTGCCATGTTGGCGTGCTGCATCCATCAACTCGTCAGCACCCATCAACTCGTCATTTACATCAGGTATAACTCCCAGTACAATCCCTCTCCCCTCCCCCCTCCCCATGATAGGCCCCGGTGTGTGATGTTCCCCTTCCCGAGTCCAAGTGATCTCATTGTTCAGTTCCCACCTATGAGTGAAAACATGAGGTGTTTGGTTTTCTGTTCTTGTGATAGTTTGCTGAGAATGATGGTTTCCAGCTGCACCCATGTCCCTACAAAGGACACGAACTCATCCTTTTTTATGGCTGCATAGTATTCCATGGTGTATATGTGCCACATTTTCTTAATCCAGTCTGTCACTGATGGACATTTGGGTTGATTCCAAGTCTTTGCTATTGCGATTGGGGTGCCTGAAAGTGAGGGGGAAATTGTTTCTACTTTTAAATTTTAATTTGATTTAGCTTTAATTTGATTTAGCTTCTGGGTTACATGTGCAGGACGTGTAGGTTTGTTACATAGGTAAACATGTGTCATGGTGGTTTGCTGCACCTATCAACCCATCGCCTAGGTATGAAGCCCAGCATGCATTAGCTGTTTATCCTGATGTTCTCCCTCCCCCGATTCCCGCCTATGACAGGCCTCAGTGTGTATTGTTCCCCTCCCTATGTTCATGTGTTTCCAAAAAAACATTTTTATGAAAGAAGGTTTATATTTTTTAAAATAGAAACACGTGATTCATTCGGATAGGAGCTGTAAACCATCTTGTCGATTTCAACAACCTAACTTGATATTATATCTCAAAGCACTGAATTCTGAAGATTCAGAGAACCTCCAGTTTACTCTATTTCAAATGATGAAAATTGAGCCAAAGAAGTTGAATAATGCATCTAAAGACTTTACCAAAACAAGTATATGATGTGGTTTCCTAATTCTCTGCATCATGAATACTTTGCTGTAGAATTCTCCCATTAAAAATAGTCAATATGCTTAAGATCTTAGGTTTTGGTGAGTTTCAATGTTTATTGCTATGTATTTAAATTTTTATAAAACACAGAAAAAAACTAGTCAAAATTCCTAAGTGGAACAACGCAGAACAAAGAATGGAGTTTCTGCTTTTATTAATTGCTTCGGAAATTGAGGCTGAAAGAGGTCAATCATCCAAAGTTCACACAACTGGTCAATGGTAAAGTTGGAACAAGTGCCATTAACTTTTGTTTAGTCAGCTTTGCAGTGCAGCCTCTTTAGATGCAGCATATACAGAGAGAAATGTGTTGAGAGTTCTGATGACAGGAAATCTTGGCTGGAGTTCATAGGTAAAGAGATCTTATGAAGAAGTGGTTGGCCATACCAAAATGTCCTCTGATATTACTGGATTTATGTTGTTAAGATTTCAAATGTCTGAGATGTAAATATAGTGGTTGAATGTGAACAAAGAGTAAATCCAAAAATAAAAGTGAGAAGGTGAAGAAAAAGCGGTGAAAACACTTAACATGCCTTAAGCATAAAATAAATCAGACTTTCATGCAAATGCCCAAAATTTCAGAAAACTAAATACCGCATGTTCTCACTTATACGTGGAAACTAAGTGATGAGAACACATGGACACATAGACAGGAACAACACATGCTGGGGCAAATGTTGGGGTTGGAGGGTGGGAGGAGGAAGAGGATCAAGAAAAATAACTAATGGATACTGGCCTTAATACGTAGGTGACAAAACAACCTGTACAACAAACCCCTATGACATAAGTTTACCTATGTAACAAACCTACACATGTACCTCTGAACTTATAATAAAAGTTTTAAAAATATGCATTCCTAGGCAACTCATTATCTTACAGTAGGCACAAGATGCAAAAACAACACTTTTGTGACTGTGGTTGCATTATAAGGGCATATAACTCTTTCTCCTTTTAGTATTTGATGATCTTTTCTCCAAATCAAAACCCCAGAGATTCCCTCATGGATGAATAATCAAGTCACAATCATCTTTATATTCTCTCCCTTATTCCCAGCACCAAGTAAGTGCTTGGATGGTTACCCACAGTAGGCTCTTAAAAAGAACAATTGTTAAATAAATGAAGAAATGGCTAATGAACACGAATAAGTCAGCCCAAACTATTACTTGAAAAAAAAATGAAAATTTTTGAGGAATTTTTTAGAAATAATGACTGCAAAAGAAGACAATGACAAAAAGAGAAAGAATATTGGTGTGTATAGGATGGCATCCCAGTGTTCAACACAATTAGTAAAATATTTCTCAAATTTGATCAAGAGCAATGTATACTCAAAGAAATCACACACATCAGACATTTCTCCATGGAGATACATCAAGTGTCTACTATGTGAAGGACATGTCAAATGGCATCACTCATGGAATCTCAGTGAAGAGGCAGTATGATAAGATGGTGACAAAGCGATTAGAGAAACAGTAAGCTTAAAAAATCAGAAAAATCTATGTGAAAATCTTGCCTTTTCTATTCACTACTTACATAACCTTAAGTCAGTTATTTAAATCTGCTAAGGATCAGTTGCTGTTGTGATGTTTAGAAAGCAAGGATAGTGCTTAAGTCCAACATGGTTGTGAGAGTTGAATGAAATGATGTAAGTGTAGCACCGAGAAAATGTCTCATGTAGAGTGAATACTTAAACACTGCTCCCCTTCCTTCATTCTCCTCATCTGGAGTTATGCAGACAATGATACACAGTGCATGGTAATTCTGTGCCATGTATAGAAGAGTGGAAGGTTCTATCAGTTGGGCTTGGATGCACTGTCTGTGTCTCCATCTCAGCATTTTTTAGCCCATAGAAGATAGTGGGTTAACTTCAACAAAAGTGAATATTTCCAGGAAAGCATAAACCCTTTGTGAGGTGTAATCTTGCTACCCCCGCAGGAGGCAACACCACAAGCAGTCGGAAGTGCTGAGGGGCAGTGGGTACTCAGCAGATTCCTGGAACCTGATGTTCACTTCACTCCCACCCAGCTGCTGATAGAAAAGCAAGAAGCACAGCAGAGATCAATTCCTGTTGCTTTTTTTCTTAGGCACAAACTGGACTACATTGCACAGCCTCTCCCGTAGGTCTTGTGGCTAGACAAATGAGTTCTAACCCGTTTCCAACTAGTAGAATATGAGCAGAAGTGCTTCTAGCCCCATAAAGACTTTTCTAAATCTCCACGATTTTTCTCCTTCAGCCCACCAATACC